GAGGCTGGGGGGCATGTGGGATATAAGGGGAGGGAGGAGCCGAGAGTTGCTTCAGCCGCAAACACGTGCCACAGCCCTGGGACAAGGCAGAAAATTTTACAAATCCCCCAACCCGAACAGCCCGCACACACGCAGCCCGGGTGAGCAGGGTTTATCCCGATGATATTAATTAATCTTTAAACGTGGAGCCGGGAACAAGGAGCCTGTTTATTCCCGTCTCCACAACTGAAGGCCGGGCAATGGCTGGGAGGGGCTGGAGAGAAACATTTTTGTCAGACAGGAGCAGTGACTATAACGTGCCACCAGTGCCAGGCACCGAGTCCTGAATAAGAGCTGAGTTTGGTCCAGGGTTAACAGACAAAATCCTTTTCAGGTCCCCCCAAAACACACGTCCTCACCCCGGGGCACTCTCCTGAGGAGGCCTGGGCAGGCCCCTGCCCGACCCGAAGCTGGGCCCACAGACCGTGCAAAGTAGGTGGCACGTGGCGGGTTGACAGTGGAAAACGAAGGCTCAGGTTGGGCACTGCTCTGCGCAACCTTCGTCCGAGGAGCCTCCAGGAATGGTGAGGTGTAAGGTGGGGGGGAATCTGGGGTGAAGGTAGGGCCAACCCTGAAGCTTTCTCTACCAAGCCTTAATGCCACAGCCTAGGAACATCCTTTGCTTTTTATTTCACTTTTGTCATGACTCAGTCTGGGTTTCCAATTTTTTAGATTTCCCCATATGTTTAAATAACCCTATGAGCTTTCCCATTGAATTCAGCAATCATTATTCATGTTTATCATGACGCTATAGCAGTGGTGGTTCTCAGTAATGGATCTAGCACAGATCCAATTTTTGCCATTTAAAGCAGTCTAAAGACGTCACTTAAATTACACATGGGTGTTTTAGAGAGCTTTAAAATGGCAGAAGCAGCATTTATTAAAGCTGGTTATATGTGTCTTCAATGTAAGGCAAAGTGGTAGTGCATGTCAGAATACCTCGTTGGCCTTTATCACATTTATATTTAATCACAGCCAGATTAAGTGGTAATTATTAATTTCTACCATCAGATGTAGTAGCCAGCTCTAGAATCTGGTCTCTACATGATTCAAATCATTCAGCTTTCTTTGTGCAACTGAACAAATATAAACCAATTTTTTTTTTTAAATAATAATCTCGTCTGTGTAGGCCTTATTTAAGGGGAACCTGGGGGCCGAACTCGCCAGCCCCACCCGTGTACCACAGCGCTGGTAGGCAAGCCAGTGCTGCAAGCTCTGCCCTGCGTCGTGGGCAGGGGGAGCCTTACCTTGGCTCCCCTAAACCCGCCAGCTCTCCCCACCCCGACACCCCTCTGTTCC